TGCAGCAGAGGCAGTTCGGGGACGTACATCTCCAGCGACTCTGAACAGAGCCCAGGGTCCCGGCTCAAATGTAAAAAGTTGCTTGTATATACCTAAAGGTCAGTGGGCAGAAGGTCCCCACTACCACTCTGTGTCCCTGGGACTCATCACTCTGCCGGGTTATTAGAGCCACACGCGTACACGATCATCTCATAGGGAACTACCAGAGCATCTTCAGGGCCTCCTCCAGCTGGATGTCTTGGAGGGACATGGAAAATATGCACTCTACAAGTAAATAAGGTTGCTTTCCATTAACTGTGCCATTATTTAAGATAGGCCAGGGTCTATCACTCTTGTAGGCGTACGGCACGGGAGGTCTTCGAAAGCTGCCCAGTGAGTCTGCGGGGTGATGGGCGGCAGTGCCTACTCTGTGTGAGCGAGGAGAGGGAGCCTGCAGAGGACCGTGATCGATGGGCTGGGGGTGTGCATGCCACAGCAGCCCCGCTCGGCTCCGCTGCTGGAGAGCTCACTCTGAGGGCAAGCCCCAGGAGCACCCCTTTGCAGGATCCCTGCTTGCTTTCTTTGCAAAGTACACCTCTGGCACCTCCACGTTAGCAAACTGCGGGGGTGAACCCAACAAAGAGAAGAGTCCACAGCCTCCAGGCGTCTGGTAACCCTCCCTCTTCACCCCAGGGGAGCTAGAGCTAGCTGTGCAGCAGCACCAGCTCACTGAAGCCTGAATAAGCTGAGGTAGAAATTGTGATTCATCCTGGAGATGAGAAAGCTTGGCTGCTGGTCCCGGCAGTCAAAGCGAGACCTCAGAGCAACCTTCCAGTACCTGAAGGGGGTCTATAGGAAAGATGGGGAAAATCTTTTTAGCAAGGCCTGTTGTGATAGGACAAGCAGTAATGGTTTTAAACTAAGGGCAGGTAGATTTAGAGTGGATATAAGGAAGAAATTTTGTACCATGAGGGTGGTGAAACACAAGAACAGGTTGCCCAGAGAGATAGTGGAAGACCCATCCCTGGAAACATTCAAGGCCAGACTCAAGAAGGGGCTCTGAGCAACCTGGTCTAGTTGAGGATGCCCCTTCTCACTGCAGGGGGGTTGGGCTGGATGGCCTCTGAAGGTGCCTTCCAGCCCAAAGCATTCCATGATTCTGTGATCTCCCCACTGACCCAGAGGCAGCTGGCTTGCTCACCTGTGAGCAGAGGACTCCCTCTGTGTCCTGCCCTGGTCAGGCAGACCTGCAAGAGTCTGTCCCATAAAACTTCAAGGAACCGACCTCAGCTCCCCATCTGTTCCATGGCTTTGGGAGACTTGGGGTCAGGCCTTACACGAGGGTGCACAGTGCTGAGTTGGGCTCCGAAGGGCACTGACTGCTTTCAGACTGCCCTCCGGGTAGGGTGGGTTTTGTCTTTCTTAATAAGTAACATTTCCGTTAGCAGATGAGATCGTTAACATATTTATAGGCAGGCTCTCCTGGCACAGCCAGGCGTGCCTGAAGCACCACAGGACACAAGCTCCGTGTCTGCCAAAGAGTATCCATAAAACATCAGGATACTCATTGGGTACAGTGTACCCTGATGGGCAAAACTAAAATTACTGGGCAGCAGGAGCAACTGTGTCCAAAATGTTCTGTCAAAACATTTAAAGTTGAAAGGTTTGTTTTTCCGGAGCGATTTTGTCCCCCGACTGTTTTGGGATCACGGTGTAGGTTACACCACAGTCCTGTCTTGCTTCCCATCACTATTTATCTACCCTCACTCGCTGGCAACTCTCTTCATCAAATGCTTCCTGGTGCAGCTTCACGGGCTGCGTGATGGCACCAAGAAGTGATTCAGGCTTGGTGAAACCAGCCAAAACGGCTGAAATGAAGCTTTATTGTATAGGCCAGTGAGGGGAGACTCCAACAGGGGGAAACGCAGCTCGGGGTCCCAGTCCGTGCCAGGGCAAGGCTGTCCTTCAGGGCATCACAGCACTGCACTGGGTGCCTCGGGGATGAGGGCGAGTGCCAGGCTGTGCTACCATGTGGATCCAGGGGTATCTGCTGAACAAGAATCAGGCCCACAGTGCAGCAAAAGCACATGCTTCTACTGTCTACGAAATAGTGACACCCCGTTCTATATGTGGGGAACAGGTTTTTGGCAGGAGGAACCACTTTTTCCCTAGAATGAATCCCAGCATAAATTCCATTTTAGTCCTTTCATTTGACCACAGCCTTCCTGTCCCTTTCATACTAAGCTTACTTAACATCATTTCATTTAAACTGTGCCTGCATTTTTTTTTGTATTCAGAGCATTAGACTGGCTGCCTGTGACACCCTGGCAGTCAGACCCTGCCTGCAGCCTTGGGAAGCAGGTTGGAGCCCGTAGTGAGGTTCGGGACTGGGTTTTTCAATGTCTCCCTGCAGCCCCATGCACTGCTTGTGTCCCCATGGCAAGCAGTTGGTACAGGCAGTGCTTTGCTGGGCTGGAGGCCAGGCTTGAACTGGGCGCAGTGTCTGTTGGAGGGGAGAGTGGATCCAGGCTGCGCACTGAGCACGGGCAGCGTCTGCGGTTTCTGGGGCAGAGGGGAGGTAGTGCTTTCACTGCTATGGAGATGCAGTTGAGAGGTTCTGCAGAGCATAGGCTTCATAGAGGACGAGGGACACTGATGTGCTGGCTGGGACACTGAGTGGCACCACGCAGAACCAGCAGCTCAGACGAAGGTGTCCACGTAACAGCAGCCAAAGCCCAGGGTCATCTCATCCAGAGATGGGCACGTTCTGCACAGGAGATGGGCAAGTTCTGCACAGCCATGACACAGTGTGAGAGGCTGGCAGGCAACAGAACCCATTAAACACAAAAAAGCGCGTTTCCTTCGCCATGCAGCCTTGTACCTGCTGCAGAGAAGGGGGGTGTAGACAGACGTAGAAGAGCAACGAGGCTGGTGAGGGGTCTGGAGAACAAGTCTGATGAGGAGTGGCTGAGCGAACTGGGGCTGTTCAGTCTGGAGAAGAGGAGGCTGAGGGGGGACCTTATGGCTCTCTACAACTACCTGAAAGGAGGGTGTAGTGAGGTGAGGGTTGGGCTCTTCCCCCAAGTAACCAGCGATAGGACGAGAGGCAATGGCCTCAAGGTGTGTCAGGTCAGATTGGATATTAGGAAAAATTTCTTTACTGAAAGAGTGGTCAGGCATTGGAACAGGCTGCTCAGGGAGGTGGTGGAGTTACCATCCCTGGAGGTGTTCAAAAAACCTGTAGATGTGGCACTACAGGACATGGTTTAGCAGGCATGGTGGTGTTGGGGTGACAGTTGGACTTGACGATTTTAGAGGTGTTCTCCAACCTTAATGATTCTGTGATTCATGGTGGGTGAAATATGAAGAGGCTCAGAGCGTGGATGGGTTTCTTTAAGTAATCACCCGATACAGCCCTGTCTTCTGAGAATGTGGATCAAAATCATGCTTTCATCAGACTCCGAATAATGAGCCTGAGATGCCCAGCCTCAGGAAACAGCTTGAAATTCAAGGCAGCAGCGAAAACCTATTTGGCATTCACTGGCAGAGGAAAATTTAATTTTGCTCAAATTTTGTCAAAGCACCTCATTAAAGTACTCCAGGGCCTCAGGGGTCCCGCAGGTTTGGAAGCAGCGCAGCCGGCACAGGGCACAGCACCTTTGTTGACTGCTGCCTGCACAGTTCAGCACCCTCCACCTCGCAGACCCCTGCATCTCTTCTTCGTGTTATTGAATTTCCACGCAGCCCCGTCCCGGGGCCTGGCACAGCAGGGCCAGGGTGTACCCATCCCCTCCCGTCCCCTCTTGCCCCCCAGCGCCTCCAGGACACAAATAAACCGCTGGTTTTGACTCTCCCTGCACCAGGGCCGTGCCTGCCCTGGCTGCCTCCTACCTGGGGATCCACAGCATCCCCAGCCCTCCCTGTACGTGTGAGATCCTGACCCCCTCGCCCTGTGCTCCCACTGGGTACCACCATGCCATGCTCTGTCGCATCCCCAGGTACCACTGTGCCATGCCCCATCATATGAGGGGCTACTGGAGAGGGTCCAGAGGAGGGCTGCGAGGATGATGAGGGGACTGGAGCATCTCTTCTATGAGGAAAGGCTGAGGGAGCTGGGATTGTTCAGCCTGGAGAAGAGAAGGCTGAGAGGGGACCTCATAAATGCCTGTAAATATCTCAAGGGTGGGTGTCAGGAGGACGGGGCCAGACTCTTTTCAGTGGTGCCCAGTGACAGGACAAGGGGCAATAGGCACAAACTGAAGCAGAGGAAGTTCCACCTGAACAGGAGGAAGAACTTCTTCCCTCTGAAGGTGACAGAGCCCTGGCCCAGGCAGCCCAGGGAGGTTGTGGAGTCTCCTTCTCTGGAGATATTCAAACCCTGCCTGGACGCGGTCCTGTGCAGCCTGCTGTGGGTGACCCTGCCTTGGCAGAGGGGTTGGACGTGATGATCCCCAGAGGTCCCTTCCAACCCTACCACTCTGTGATTCTGTGATATCTCCGGGTACCACCGTGCCATGCCCCATCGCACACTCTCACCCCGGTGGGCAGCTGCCGGCCTCCTCCTCCCTGCCACTGCCAGGGGGCTTGAGCCAGCTCTCACCCCTCAGGTGGAAAAACCCCAAGCCAGGCTCTCATGAGGCTCCCTCCAAGCCCTGCATAGCAGATGATGGATGGGGAGTTTCCCTGCCAGCCCTGGCGCCTCAGCATCCCGGGGCCCACGGGGGTGGAAGGAGGGGGACGACCCGGCGCAGTTCCAAGATGTCCTCTGTGAAGGTGCTCACGGCAAGGGTGAAATTTCACCTCTCCCCTCGCTCTTTCATCGCTGTCCCTCCTGTGTTTGCAGCCCCTCCGTCTTCGTACGGCAACAGATGCTGAAACTTGGTTTTCTTCTCCTCTTTGAGATGTGTGCCCCTCTTTCCTCAAAGGAAAAGGAGAGGAGCAAGAACGAAATGACACCCATATATTTGCTGCAGGCTGTGACTGCCTTGTGTAGTAACGCTGCCTTTCTCTCCTTGTTTTAGGGAGTGCTGTGGATTTTTTGGAGACAATGGCTTGACTTTGAAGGTGTTTTTTACCAAGGCAGCACCCTTTGGTGTTCTTTGGACACTCACAAACTACCTTTACTTACATGCAATAAAGAAAATAAACACTACGGATGTCTCCGTGTTGTTCTGCTGCAACAAAGCTTTTGTGTTCTTGCTTTCATGGATCGTTCTGAGGGACAGGTTCATGGGAGTGAGGGTAAGTGACTCCTTATCTCTGTCTCCCTTCTTCCCCCTCGCCCTTCTGCCTTTCCTTGTCCCCTTCCCTCCCACCGGCCGAGTCGAGCAGCACCCACGCAAAGAGCCGAGCGGGTGCAGAAATCCTTGCCGAGCGGGGACGCATCCCGGGGTCCTGTGAGCTCCTAGAGCCCCCAGCCTGCTGCCTTTGCACATTTTCCTTCAGAAAAGAGGTGTTTTGCTCCAGCATGTGGCACGAAGGGTAGCTGTGATCTCCACGTTCCCGTGGACGTGCATCAGCTTCTGCCTGCCCCTTCCGAGTGACAGTTCCCAGGCTCTGGGCTTCACAGCAGGCTCGCAGTTATCCTTCGCACCCACCTCAGCCCGCAGCATCTGCAGAGGGGAGAGCTGGGCCACCCCTGCCCGCCAGCTCCCGAAGCCTGTCCGTGCGTGGCTGGTGGAGGATCAGCGTGGTGGGGACGTGCGTCTGGCCAGCAGCTGCAGGCACGGGGCAGGCAGCGTACAGTGTCCTCCAGCAGCAGAGCCGAGATGGTGGGTAACCCACCGCCCCAGGGCCAAGGGGGTCCAGCCGAGGACAGAGGTGACAGCAAGGAGAAGGAGCCAGGGGGTTCCTTATTAACACTTATTAACAGCAATAATGGTCATAACACCTGTTTTCCACCCACCATTTGAGGAGCTCTGCTCACCCACCCGGGCAATGCTTTCGGTGCTCGGAAGATGTTGTCAGCCCTTGCTGCATGGAGCAACCAAGAGTTAACTTTTCGGGAAGCGTCCCTCTCCGGCAGGAGAGCTTGGCCAGCCTCACAGCTCTGGAAGCCAAGGAGCTGCTCAGGGAATCGTGGCGAAAAGGAGCTGCCAGGAGCCCGGCACGGCCAGCTGGTGTCTGTGCTTGCCCACCCACCTGCCCAGGTAGCCGTGCCCTGCGAACGGATTTAACTGGGGTTTTTGAGTGCAGAAGCAAGGGCAGCCTGAAGTCATCCTGGAGGCAGGGGAGCGTCGCTGTTATCCTAGCTGAATGTGCTGGCCATTTTGATAAAGGTTAGAAAAAGAGATCTTGGGCCATCTTGTGGCGGGGGCAGCGCTGGTGGGACACCAGGAGAGGAGGCGTGCAGAGGGCTGACCGCCAGTCTCCCACGTGAGCAGCTCACTGCTCCATCTGCACGTGCCATCTCTCACCGCTGGACACTGCTGTGGTCTGAGGGGAGAGAAGCCGACCCGCACGTAGGGATGCCCACACTGGCACACACATGCTGGAGCAGAGATCCTTCTCGTGCTCTCCCAGGTGCGTGGCCGTGGGAGGAGGGCCGGGATGGTCAGGGGGTCTCCAGTAGCTTCCCAGCCAGGCTAGGTCTTGTGCCATGGCAGGTGAGACGTGCTGGGGGACAAATCCTGCTCTGGATCCCCCCCCTTCCCAAAGGGGCAGAAGGAGTGGGGGAGCAGACTCCAGTGGTGGTCGCAGCCATGCCCAGTGCTCCTTTATCTCTTATCAGCGCTGGCTTGCTCGAAACCCACCAGCAACGAAGCAGAGACCCAGAGCAGGGGCCAGGGTGATGGAGGCCATGTGATGCTCCTGCAATGCATCCCAGTCCCTCGTCATGGCAACCTGGCACTGGGAATGGGTGGCAGGGGTTGCTTCGTGAGAAGCCACCTCCATGCCCAAGGAAGGACGTGGGCATCTCTCACCGCAAGGGGCCTGGGTGCAGCGCGAAGGGGCTTGCAGGAGGACCGGGCTATTCGCTCTTGGGCAGATGTGGCATCCTGACCAGGGACAAAATGTGAGTGAGGAGGTGCTTGTCCCTAGGGAGTGGCAGGGCCCAGCTTCATTTGCCACCGTGGGAGTGTTGGGGACGCTTCTGTCTGCAGAGGGACTGAGTGTGGAGTGTCCTCTGAGATGCATTTTCTTCCCCCTTCTCTCCCTTTTCTGTACAGCCCGTGTGAAAACCAGCAGACACCAAGGGTGCTGCAGGGGGATAGCCTCGGGGTGAACCCCAAAATAAAGCTTCCTCCCTGGGACTGGCACCCAGGAGGAGGGACAGCCACTGGAGCTTCTCCGGGAGGGACCTGGGGACAGCGAGCTAGCACGCAGCCCAGCCCCAAAGCTTGCAGCCCCTCGGGCCACGCTGTGCCAGAGCTGCTGGCCCGTTCAGAAGCACCCTTTGAGGGGTGCCCGTCTGTGGGGGGGAGGGTGCCTCGCCCTGCGCGGCGTAGCGGGACGGGTAACGCCGCAGCAAAGCTCCAGCCGCGCGTTTGGGCATCCCTGTTCACACCCGCTGCTGGAGAGGCTGGGCGGGCGAGGCGGCCGCCCGCG